GGGAAGCCTGCTTCTCCCTCTCCCACTCCCCCTGCTTGTGTTCCCTCTCTCGCTGTGTCTCTCTTTGTCAAATAAATAAAATCTTAAAACAAAAAAACTGAACCAACTCTGCCCAATTCCCAAAATACCAGAGGGAGGAGGCACAATTCCCTTTTCCCCACCCACATTTTTATGAATCAGAGGTTCTTCCCTGAGTGATTATATCCTATTCCAATTATGTAGCTAATGCTCCCCGGGCATTGCATTCACAATTTTCCCTGTTGCAATAGTATCAGGCTGACAATTTGCTACAGACTTCCCCAAGATGTCCTAATAGAAACACTAATTTCATCCAAAGGATACCACGGTATAAGGGAAAAAAAAAAAAAGAACTAAACTTTATCTAACTGAACTGTACCTAACTCAAAATCAGGCTAAATATAGGACTCAAGCATCCCTGTAAAAAGTACGATTTCTAGAGCTAGACCAGTTGAAATACTTTAATTCTTCATCCAATCAGCTTACCCGTTTGGGCACAAGCCATCAAGTCTCTTTTCTCTTTGATAATAGGAATGGCATGTTTCTGCACCGGAGTTGGACGAGTGTAACGAGTAAGCTCAATGTTCCCCATGATAATTTCTCCCATCTCAACATCACTGAACTGTCAAGGAAATAAAAGCAAGTCAAACACATACAACTAGAAATGCCTTAGCTGTTACAATTTCTGTGTTGTACTACTATGACAATAACAGCAACCCCAAATATCCCCTTTTGGTTGTGATTACATTTGCTATAATTTTAGGGTAAAAGTACCTTAAAAAATTTTAGGTATTTTTAAGAAAATAGATCCCAGGGTGCCTGGGTGGCTCAGTTGGTTGGGCGATTGACTTCAGCTCAGGTCATGATCCTAGAGTCCCAGGATCGAGTCCCGCATTGGGCTCCCTGCTCAACAAGGAGTCTGCCTCTCCCTCTGACCCTCCCTCCCCTCATGCTCTCTCCCCTCAAATAAATAAAACCTTAAAAAAAAAAAAATAGACTCCAATGTCTCACACACAATATCTCACATACAATACAGTACTTTTGGATTTTTTTTTAAAGATTTACTTATTATTTGACAATGACACAGCAAGAGAGGAAATACAAGCAGGGGGAGTGGGAGACAGAGAAGCAGGCTTCCCGCGGAACAGGGACTCAATTCCAGGACGCTGGCTGGGTCCATGACCTCAGCTGAAGGCAGACGCTTAATGAATGAGCCACCCAGGCGCCCTGTACTTTTGGATTCTTTGTATGTTTGACATTTTTCTATTTCAGATTTAACCATAATGGTGACATAAAATCTTAGTCTTTTTTATAACCCAATGAAGTTTTTAAATGGTTAACAAAGAACTGTTAAAAAGTCAAACAAAAACAACTTACACTTTCAATATGTGGAGGACAGTTATTTCCAGTTGCCTCTACTGGTATATCATCATATTTCTCAAAGTTTATTCCAGTGTTTCCTCCAGAAAAGAGTTCCCTAAAATGAAATGATTACATACATTATACTAAGTAATAAGGTTCATATCAATCAACATGTATTTCAAAAACTTACTGCTCCAAACGTTCACTTGGTGGCAGTGGTTTTGACCAATCATCTTCATCTGATTTGTCACACCAACGACTGTGTCCACTGCGTTCAAATTTGCCAAAGCTAGTCCTGTCACCACGACTGCCAATACCATCATAGTCAGTCCGTCCACGATCATCAAACCTAAACAGCATGAACAATTGATATATATCGTTTAGCTGATATATGTATCTCTCTAGATACATACTTGTGCACTAGCTGAATTGTTTCGTCATTAAGTACCTTTCAAAGACTTCAACAATTCAACATTGGCTATCTCATTTATGAGGCCCTATACATCTCCAATTTTTTAAAAAAATCCACATTTGGGCGCCTGGGTGGCTCAGATGGTTAAGCGTCTGCCTTTGGCTCAGGTCATGATCCCAGGATCCTGGGATCGAGTCCCGCATCAGGCTCTCTGCTCCTTGGGAGCCTGCTTCTCCCTCTGCCTCTCTCTCTCTGTCTCTCATGAATAAATAAATAAAAAAAAAAATCTTTAAAAAAAAAATCCACAACCATTTTTACCTTATGTAAAATTATACAGCTTCATCAGGTCTCATAATGCTAAGAATCAAGTTTTATAACATTTCTATCCAGTATGTACTTCCTATTTTCATTTTAAGGCTGATAACCCAGGGACATCTGGGTGGCTGACTCTCTATTTTGGGTCAGGTCATGATCTCAGGGAGCCTGCTTCTCCCTCTCCCCCTGCTTGTGTGCACTCTCTCAAATAAAGAAAATCTTTAAAAAAAAAAATCAAGAAGTACAAAGAGATGACATCAAACTAAGTTGATTCCTAAATTGCTACTGTAAACACATTTGCAAGCTAATAATTTACCTTCCTCTTGGCCCACTTCCACGATCGCTGAAGTAACTGGGCTTTCCTCTTGAATCTCGGGATCCAAAACTGCTGTAGACGTCCTTATCTTTACTACAACTCCACCCTGAACTGTCTTTATCATAGAAGCCTTTCAAAAAGAGTTAAAAAAAAAAAAAGTTGACAATACATTTACAGGATTCCTGTCTTTCCAAATAAGCTCTGATATAGCTTCCCTTTTATCCTTCTGGAACCAAGGGTCAGTGGAATTTCTTTTATCAAATACTGGAGAAGAGAACCAAGATTTAGAGAATTGGTTTCACAAGCACTTCTTTCACATGTCAATGTTCACTACATATTAAAAGGAGTAAAACAGGAATCTATTCCAATAAAATTATTTTAGTAAGATTGTGGCAAATTGCCCTTTTAAAGGTGTAACTGCTCTCAGAGTGATCCCAAGTGCCTCTTCCAAAGTTTTAACCTCAAAGGCAGTAGTAAGGGAAGTTCTAAGTTTAGCCTTTTAGTTATGCCCCATTTTAAAAATAAATCTCAGGAATGACAGTTGTTGCTGAAGTAGATAAATTTAAGGTATGCACCATACAGCATATAAAACACACATTTTTAAATTCAAAAGGTTACCTCAGGGTAGAATCAGTTACCTAGAGAAGAGCTTAATTACCAAGAAGAAGAAATATGTCAAATGCCTGAGGACAGAGAACTTGAAAATTCATGAAGATGAAGCTCCAAATTGCAGTCACTGATTTATGCTTATATGGGCTCTGTGTACTAAGTGGTATGATTAACAAGAGACTTATTTAAAAGAACTTGGGAGAAAGCAACTTGGTAGCAACTTAACAGCTATAAATATAGCAAATCAGCTGAATTATCTTTAATACATAAACAATCTGGCTTAGTCTAACAACATTTAAAAGAAATTCAGTAAATGGAAATAGTCAATACAGAGCTTCTTTGTTCTCCTACAGTTTTAAGATACCCTCAAAAGTACCCAGGTACAAAAGAACCTGTATTAAAAAACAATCAAGGATCTTTAAAATGATTCCTTAACATTTAGGTATGCAAGCAGTAGCAACATTATGCAATTAGATTCTCCCATAAGAACTCTAAATTTAGAAAATTAACAACCCACTTCTAAGTCATTTTAACCAACTTTATACGTAAAAAAATTTCTCTAACCACTCCCTCGAATGTCTCCAAAGTTATATATTTATTGTTATTAAGTTAGTTACTTCACACTGAGATACCGCGAAAGCTCCTTTCTGTTTCAGTGCAAACAATGCCAACAGTTGGTGTAACTATTGTTGTACTTTATACTTACGTATACTATTGTCACATCCTAAGAGTTCAACAATATGTTGTCAAGCTCAAGGAGAATCAAATATACCAAGGAAAAAAGAAACTGCCATTGTTGCCTAAATTCCACATGAACATACCTTTATGGGCACAGCTACAGACAGGTAAAAGGAAGGTGACCAGAGTGAACCCACTAGAGAGAACTCAACCAGTTAGAGACACTTTAATTTTTTTGCATTTCACAAAGTAATAACATTACTTTCCCTCAACCATGGCCTTTACTCTTCCATTTCTTAATTTCCATACAGTCACTCCCTTTGAAGCACTCATACTTCCCTTGCAATTCTAGTCACATACATTCTGAGGAATACCCATTATAAAAGAAAATCTGGGGGTGTGTGGGTGGCTCCGTTGGTAGAGCATGCAGCTCTTGATCTCAAGGTTATATTGGGTGTAGAGATTACTTAAAAAGAAAAAAATTTTTTTTTAAGATTTTATTTATTTGACAGACACAGCGAAAGAGGGAACACAAGTAGGGGGAGTGGCAGAGGGAGAAGCAGGCTTCCCGCAGAGCAGGGAGCCCCATGCGGGGCTCGATCCCAGGACCCTGGGACCATGACCTGAGCTGAAGGCAGACGCTTAACAACTGAGCCACCCAGGCGCCCCAAAAAGAAAATCTTTTAAAAATAAATTCGCAGGGCACCCGGGTGGCTCAGTTGGTTGAGCAACTGCCTTCAGCTCAGGTCATGATCCTGGAGTCCTGGGATCGAGTCCCACATCAGGCTCCCTGCTCAGCAGGGAGTCTGCTTCTGCCTCTGATCCAACCCCCTCTCATGCTCTCTCTCTCATTCTCTCTCTCAAATAAATAAAATCTTAAAAAAAAAAAAATAAATTTGCAGTTTGAGAAAAGAATTCTTTCATTAGCTAAATGTAATCTTTTGGTATTATACAAACATAAACTACAGACTATGCATGAAGGTACACACTCAGTACACAAGCTACAGTTTATTTTCCCCCTCCCCAAATACCCACCTCATTTATTCACCATCTTCTTTCTTCTTGGCTTTTCCTGACCTTTTCTTTCTCTTGAAAATTTCAGATCACTGCGATGGTTGAGTATTTGACACTCATACCATCATCCAACACTATCTTAATCATCTACTACTCTACATTAAAAACTTAATACTAAAAGTCATAAAGTATTTTAGTAACATTTCATACAAAGCATTCAACATGGAACAGTTCTACAAAAAACTGAAATCAGACAATCTCTCCAATCCTCTGAGCGTGCCTATGCTTGCAATCCTTCAATTGTTAAATATTCGGCAATAACTACTGTTCACTGTTGTAGCATTTGAGGATTTCATTGCCCTCCAGTCAGTTTTACAAAACAGCTCCCTCCCCTAGGTGGCTTTCAAACTGAAATCATGTTGTATTTATAAAAAAACAAAGCACTACAGTAATGGAACTTTAGGCTCAAAATTGGTCAAAAGAAATAAATATCCATCATATAATACCAGATGAACTTTTCGAAAGTTACAGAGTTAAAACAGAAGAAATGTGAACAATACGCTTCCTAAAGTTACCTCATTTTCCCTAGCTTCTTAAAACAGAAAAATTGGACATAAAGTTGCCAGTCACCTACCTTTAGAGGCTTCTCTGTTCCTTAAGTGAGGAGGTATATAGCGCCCTTCTAGAAGAGAAACATAAATTTTAAAAAACCTATCCTATCCTCCAAGACACAGCAGTTTAGAAAAATATCTATTAAAACATTGATCCTAGGGGCGCCTGCATTGCTCCATCAGCTTGGCGGGAGTCGGCTTCTCTCTCTCAAATAAATAAAATCTTAAAAAACAAAACAAAACAAGAACACTGATCCTAGAAAACAAACTTTAAAACCTTCTATTCTCTAAATTATTTTACAATTGGAGAGGCACCTGGGTGGCTCAGCTGTTAAGCGTCTGCCTTCGGCTCAGGTTATGATCCCAGGGTCCTGGGATCGAGCCCCACATTCCCTGCTCTGGGGGAAGCCTGTGTCTCTCTCTTCCACTCCCCCTGCTGTGTTCCCTCTCTTGCTGTCAAATAAATAAAATCTTTTTTAATAAAATTATTTTACAATTGTTAAAAGAAAATCTAAAAATGGGTAAGTGCTTAAATAATACAAATTTTATGCTACATCAAAAAAAAGAGAGAAAGAAGAGGAGTGGACAGTATAAGTTTGGCAAATCTGGAAACAGATTGTAATAAAAACCCTCAATTCAAACACATTTCAGTGGTGCCTAGTGGCTTACTCAGTGGAGCACATGACTCTTCCTCTCAGAGACTTGATTTCAAGCCTCACATGGGCACAAAGTTCATTAAAAAAAAAAAAGACTGTGCTATTTCAAAATGTTAGATTAATTGCAACTCTCAGCAAATACGACCATTGCTACAACAAAACTGCCAACTAAGAAAAAAATATGCACTAAATCAATTAACCAGTATCAATTACCTTTGTTTCTACTGTGGCAAAATAAAGACCACAGAATGTGGTTTTCATACAGATGAAAGCTGAAGGATTCCAGAAAGGAATTGATAGTGTTAAGATTTCTTAAATTAGGGGTGCCTGGGTGACTCAGTCGTTAAGTGTCTGCCTTCAGCTCAGGTCATGATCTCAGGGTCCTGGGATCGAGCCCCGCATCGGGCTCCTGGCTCCACGGGAAGCCAGCTTCTTCTCCCTCTCCCACTCCCCCTGCTTGTGTTCCCTCTCTCGCTGTGTCTCTTCTGTCAAACAAATAAAATCTTAAAAAAAAAAAAAAAAGATTTCCTAAATTAAGCGGCGCCTGGGTGGCTCAGTTGGTTAAGCGTCTGCCTTTAGCTCACGTCATCATCTCAGGGTCCTGGGATCGAGCCCCCATGTCGGGCTCCCCGCTCAGTGAGGAGTCTGCTTCTCCCTCTCCTGCTTCCCCTGCTTGTGAGCACTCTCTCTCTAATAAATAATCTTAAAAAAAAATATAGATCTCCTAAATTAAGTGAACAGCCAGCCTGTGACTATGAAATAAAAGCATTTAACCAGGGCACCTGGGTGCCTCAGTCGTTAGGCGTCTGCCTTCGGCTCAGGTCATGATCCCAGGGTCCTGGGATCAAGCCCTACATTGGGCTCCCTGTTCAGAGGGAAGCCTGCTTCTCCCTCCCCCATGTCTCTGTCAAATTAAAAAAAAAAAAAAAAAAAAAAAGATCAAAAAGCATTTAACCTACATAGTAGAAGGAAGTGTTAGTATCATAATTTTAACTAAATGTCTAACTTTTGGATTGAAGTAAGTATCCCAAACCATTAGTATAATTAAATTCTTTTTAATAAAATAATTAACTCCTTATAATATGCATATAGTAGCAAACAAGACTTAGTATGTATTAACCATACTTAAAAGCTCTTCAGAGTGTACCCACTGCTTTCTTGAAAACATGGGTCCAAGCAGAGATCTGCTGCCAAATAATAAAGGGTCAACCCTTTCATTCAAATATTAACCTCTAACAAGTATTAAAAAAACAAAACACTATTCTTTCGAAAACTAAGCTTCTATTCAATTTAATATGGCTGAATTTTAAATTCAACTATAACCCAAAAAGCAGTAGAGCCTAATTCTACTCTGAAGTCTCAGGTTCATTATGAGACAGTCATAGTAGCTACAACACATAAATGTACAGGGGCCCTTATCAGGTTAACATAGTTCAGGTCAGTTCACAAGAGGGATGAATATCCCACCTCCTTCGTGCTTAACCAGAATCGATACTGGACATATCTAAAAATGTGACTATGGGTGCCTGGGTGGTTCAGATGATTAAGGGTCCTGCCTTCAGCTCAGATCATGATCTCAGGGTCCTGAGACTGAGCCCTGAGAGGGCTCCCTCTCACTGGGAAGTCTGCTTCTCCCTCTGCCCCTCCCACCTGACCTGTGCTCAAAGCGCTCTCTCACAAATAAAATCTGGAAAAGCAAAAAAAAATAAAAATGTGACTATGACATTGCCTTTCCTTCAAATGATCACAGTTTTCCACTCAAAAAGAACCAACTGGTCTCTTATTATACAAATGTTAAAATACTAAAATATTTATATATATATTTGGTAAAAAGATAAAATTTTTACTTTAAAATTGCTAAGTACAATGAGTATTAAGCTCTGATATTAATTCTTGTAAAAGAATTTTTTTTTTTTTTACTTACTGCTCGCTGTACTTCCTCCTCCACTCTGATTATCAGAGGAGTTCAGGTCTAGACCAGCAAACTAGAAGAAAGATATTGACACCTCACATGATGACAAACAATAAAGGGGGGGGGGAATCAAGCACAGATAGCACTGCAAAAGACAAATCAGTTCTAAACTCCTGTCCTACCCTGTAGCATTTACTAGCTAGCTGCCCTGTCTGCCTCACATGGTTTTAAAGTCTACAAGGCAAGACACAGATGCCAATAGTATAAGTAATTAAAGAAGTTTCAAACACATTCATCCCAAACAGGTTTTCCCTGTAACAATTTTCCATAGCAAAATGCTCTTCAATCACCAAACTAATTTGTTAGTACCATTTTTTCCCCAAAACCACTGGTTTCCCACTTCATACTACTGATATCACTTAAACCTAAACATTCTACCTGGAAAACGTTAGGACAATTTGAAAATTCATTAGTTTCTTCATTCCTAAAGACTGTGCCAAGTGTTTTTAATTTGGATAAATTCCTAAGCAATACCACTGCCACCAACTACCACGTGGTGAGTACTGTGCCACTTTTTACCATTCCATTTAATGCTGGCTACATTGAAAGCCCTATTTACTTCTCCATTTTAGAAAGACAAATTCAATGTTCTTGGTTATAAAGGTACTAAGTAACACAACTAACATCTAAAGCTTTTTAAAGACTTTCCTTCATCTCAATTACTACTTGTCCCCTCACTGACAGATTTCAACACGGAGAAAAAAAGATTATTTTACTTCATCACGTTTTGTTAATAATTAACCCAGAACTACTTTCAAACAAGCATACATACCGAAATAAAATTTTAAAAGAACAAACCACCACAGCAAAGTGGGCTGCTGTGTATGCAAAAAAAAAAAAAAGATACAGTAACATGTGCAAACACTAGAAGTCCAAGATATTACCAATTACATGCACCATCAACTAAGATATTAAATTACCACTTTTCCAGGCCTAATATGGTTACTATTAAATTTTAATGACTCAGAGACCATAGTTCATCAAAAATTTAAATAAATTCTATTACACAGAAAATGTTACAAAGGAGATTGCTTATGCTTGTTTTCAAATTTTCAATTTCAGTGCTCCTTTACATTATCAAGGCGCAGGAGACTGCAAGAGTTAATATAACCGTATTGTTAGATGAAAATACCTTAAAGAGGTAAACCACCAAATCTCTGAAATATATTACATGAAACATTGAAATTTAGAATCAATTGTTAGTAAGGTTTGTTTCAGAATTCAGGAGTTCCTCAGCTATTTTTTTTGTGAATAGTTTATGCCCTAATTTATTTCCCTCTGTTAAACGTGGAAGACAGAAGACAGGCAAACTGTTCACTTCAGAGTACGAACAATTCTTTTAAGTTTCTCTGGGAGGTATACCGCAGTAATAAAACGAACATTTCCCCTGCCATGGAAAACGAACCTGTTACCTCTCGAAGATCACTCGCACTGGTAACACCTCGAAGTAAAAGGTAGTCTCCTTATTAAAGAGGACAAGCCTTTTTGACCTAGATTGAAATAGGCGCAACAATGTAAGTTTATCCGCCCTACCAAACCACCTTCGGAGTATTTTTCTCCGGATGCAATCCAAAGTCAAAATTACTAATCTATGAATATGTAAAACACATAATACCACAAAGAAAAAATCCACAATGCTGGACTAAAATGGCTATTTATTCAGTGACTCTCTAAATTAAAGGGCAGTTCCAGATTATTAACCTCCCAAGTGGTTACGCGCCGACGTCCAACTTCCATTATTTCCAAACACCGGTCAAGGGAAGCCCACGGCGGCCATTCCTCCCTCCCCGCCCCCCAGTATCCCTCTCCGGCCCTTCTGCGTCACAAAACTTTCCACTCCAGAAACACAACCTCACCATCCGCAGCACTGGGCTGCGACACTCTGGCGACAGGAGCCCCCCAAATAAACAACTGTTTCGTCGACCTTTGTAAAGTCAGTTGCCGGACCAAGTCTCGCAGGCCTGGGCTTTCTCTTAGGGTGCAACGCTCCGCTGCACTGCCCTGCAGCCCGAACAAAGGAGACCGCCGCCATTACCCTGAAAGAAAGCCTCTCCTTCCGTCCTGCTCGCTCCATCTCTCCCTGCCCCCCCCCAATTCCGTGGCTACAACCAGCTCTCCCGTCACATACCAACCGGACCTTTGAGCCAAAATCAGTATCATCCAGTGAAAATCAAACCACTCAGATAAAAACATGGCCTCCTTACGCGGACCTCCCTCTGATCACTAGTCAGCCGGTGCTCGCACATGCGCGTATTTGCGAAACCGCCAGCACACACAAAAGCCGCCATTGTGCGCGGCCGGGATACAATACCTCGGCTCAAGTAACCGCTTACCCCGATCCTACTGTTACCGCCTCATCTTGTTCGCTACTACACCTCTGGGGGTTTGTTAGTTTCTTTCCCGTACGTCCACAATCCCACCCGTAACAAATCAGCTATCAAAATAAAGGAAATAAAGATGGCTAGTTAGTACTACGCCACAAGACACGTTAAACCAGGAAACAGGTCCACGCAGACCGCCTCGGGATGCGTATTTCCACTTACCTGCTGATCCAGCCCGGGCGTATTTTCCACCGCCACATGACTCATGCCTGAAGGGAACCGAGAACTCGGAGTTTCCCACTGCAAGTGTACCGTTTTAGAACACCCACACCTCAGAGGAGAAGTACACAGCTTGGCCACGGCCGTAATATATCAACTACGACTTTACGTCAGTACGTAAGTCGCGCGCCTTCCTTCTCTGCCCCCACCAATAACAACCCTTTAATCCCTACCGTTACTTCTGCCTGGCTAAATCCCGTTCGTTTCGTTATAACATCGCGGGATCTTCTAGTCGGCCTCTCCCTTAAAGGTTCTCAGAGTTGGCGAGAGCTTTATTTTCTCCGCCTTCCCCCAATGTTTTGGAGTTCTTGGAAGCAAGCGAGAGCCCTCTTTCTCCTGCTTTCCACGAGTTGGGAGATCTTAAACATAGCGCCCGTGTACCTCTTATCTCACCCTCCCACTTTCCACCCTTCTAGTTTCCCTCCTTCTACCGCTTTCCCTTTTTCTTTTCTTTCAGTTACTGGGATCGGAAGTTTCGTAAAATGTCTCAGTTCTAACTAGAATCAGTTAAAAAAAAACCCGAAGCAGAGAAGGTTGAGGGTCACGTGACCCCAGCTGTGAGGAGTTTGGGCCGTTCTGTAGACCGGTCGACGATGGCTTGCGTAGAATCCTCTGCTGTAGGAGCGAAAGAGGAGGTGGGCAAAGGGAGTCTGCAGGAGGTGGATGGGTCGGGGTAAGCGGAGGGGAATCCGCAGCACGTGCGGGCGCCCGGAGTCCGCCCGGCTTGAGCTTCGGCTGCGGGGGTCTTAGCCAGGAACCCGAGGCCCCTCCAGTTTCCTCGCTGCGACTGTGCGTTTCAGGCCGTACAGCCTCTGCGTCACGTGGTGAGGAAACAATGAAACAATTAGATCGTCAGTGATGAAAAAGCACCTTTCTGGGGACCTCCCATCCCCACTCGTCCTTACCCCCACCCTGCCATCACTCACCCCTATTGGGCTTTTTGTTTTCCCCAGTGTTCTAGGTCTTGTGCCCAATGGTGCTGCACTGTTTACCCAAAACTACGGTGTCTTGGAGATTGTGAACGACTTTCTTGGGGTCCAAAAGACTCAGCACTGGTTCTGGCTGGGCGGAATCCGCCTGTTGAAGGAGCTGCGAGGTCTCTTGTCATCTAGGCTTAAAGTGACCCTCAGACTGCCCTAGGGCGGGGTTGGAGTGGGAAGTGGAAGGACTTGGACTACAGCCTTCTCGAGGAATCTCTTCCTTTGGCCCTCCTCTAAGTCCTTCAATCCAGATTCAGTACCATAGGCCCTTGAAATGGAAAAACAAAGCCAAGAACCGTGTTCATTGTATAGTTCTTCACGGTAGCAGCAGCTTATCCGTGGTTCCTAAAAATCGCTCTTCCATGCCTCGTAGCGAAAGAGTATCATACACACCGAGTTTTGTAGGGTCACCTACTGTTAGGATTCAAATGGCTCCATTTTCATTTACCACATACAAGACCTTTCTGCTTTTTCCTTTTCAAAATTTAAACGTTCAAAGGTGATTGGAATGAGTTGCTTTACTGCTTTTTCACCTAAGCTAAATTAAATAACTTTTTATAGCAAATATTTGGTAATGACGCTTAAACCAGTCTTAAACTCATTCATAGTGTAAGTCAAACCATTTGATGCACTGTTTTGCTCCAAAATGACCTAACTGTAATACAAAAAAATAAAAAAAATTATACTTGATAAAATAGTATGTGAAATGCCCTGTACTACCACACTAGTAATAGTCAAGCACTTCCACATTTAGCCACTGATAACAATGTGGTCACAACTCAGGAAGATAAACAGTAGTTCTGGTAATATTTTCCAATACAAACAATAAAATACAAAAATACAAATCCAACAATACAAATTTACCTTGAATTATACAGTTTCATTTCTGAAAAAATTCTGTGTGGAGCCTAGTAAAAAATATGTTGTATTAGTATGTAAAGCAGAGTCTGACAAACAGTATTTTCATCTCTGGGTATGATCTTTTGTGAAGAACTATCCACTGCGGTGTAGAACATGTAAATACTAAAATGCCTGACCCTTGCCAGTCACTGTGATAATCTAATTACTAACACTAATTTGCAAAATGCTCTCTTTAGAAACAGTAACCTTGGTGATCTTTAGGGTCTTTCCAACTCCGACATTTGTGAATTCAAGTTACAGAGCGTTAGTGAGGTGTATTCTTGTTCTCATTGTTGCAGCGTTCTTGTCTCTGGGAGTCAAAGAATGAATCTCATAGACAAAAGGAAGTGAAGTGAAAGTTTATTAAATGAAGGTGAGAACAGAAAGGAAAGAAAAGGATCCCTCTAGAGTGAGAGGAGTCCAGAATGGGTTGCTACTGAGGGGTTTTATGGTCAGTCTTTTTTTTTTTTTAAGTTTTTATTTATTTATTTGACAGAGAGAGACACAGCGAGAGAGAGAACACAAGCAGCGAGAGGGAACACAAGCAGCAATAGAGGTAACACAAGCAGGGGGACAGGGAACACAAGCAGGGGGAGAGGGAGAGAGAGAAGCAGTCCTCCCGTGGAGCAGGGCGCCCGACGCGGGGCTCGATCCCAGGACCCTGGGATCATGACCTGAGCGGAAGGCAGATGCTTAATGACTGAGCCACCCACATGGCCCTATGGTCAGTCTTTTATTGAAGAGTGACAGGGGTCCCAAGACCCTTGGTTAAGATCTCATTTAAGACAAACAAGGTGGTGGGGCACTTGGGTAGCTCAGTTGGATAAGCAACTGCCTTCAGCTTGGGTCATGATTCTGGAGTCCCAGGATCGAGTCCCGTATCGGGCTCCCTGCTTGGCGGGGAGTTTGCTTCTCCCTCTGACCCTTCCCCTCTCATGTGCGTGCTCTCGCTCTCTCTCTCAAATAAATAAATAAAATCTTTTAAAAAAAAAAAACAAGGTGGATTTATAAATATCATGAGACTATCCTGTCTATATTTAGAATGAACAAGGTGCTTGGGATGTCTGGGTAGCCTAATCAGTTAAGCACCTGCCTTTGGCTCAGGTTATGATCCCAGAGTCCTGGGATCAAGTCCTGCATGGGGCTCTCTGCTTAATGGGGAGCCTGCTTCTCCCTCTCCCTCTGCCTTCTGCTCCGCCTGCTTGTGCTCTCTCTCTCTGGCAAATAAATAAAACCTTAAAAAAAAAAAAAAAAAAGAACAAACAAGGTGGATTTGTTTTGTTCCCTTCTCTCTGGTTAATATCTCATCTATAATATTTCTCCACATCTGGTATTTCTGTGAACCTGGTAAGACACCCCCCACTGCGTTTGCCTAGTGTGCAGCCCCGTACATGTCTCTCCCTACCTAGCCTCATCTGTCACTCCCTCATCATTTCTTTTTCAAGTAGGCCAAAGCAAACATAAGTCTAAGATTCAGAGGCTATCATTCTGACAGCTTTTCTAGTTGTATGTGCTTAAGCAATAATAGAACATAATGACTACTCAGGCTGTAGGACTTATTTTACTTTTGAGTAGTGTTAGAGTGCAGGTACTGGCAATGGAGTACATAAAAGAGGTTAAAACAAATACAACTGAGTAAATTTGTAGATCTAATTGGCTTCACTGAATGATTCGTGAGTCGGGAAGCACACTATCTACCAAATATAAAAAAACTACTAGGAGCTGTACAAACTAAAAGGCTTTTAGATGCAGAAGTGAGCAGAAAAATTGAGTGGATTATTTCAGGAAAAGTAACCTTCCTTTGGGGAAGGGCAGGGGTTTATCATGCAGTTTTCATCAGTTGTACTGATCAGGTCATTCAGGATTGACTAGTTTAAGGTCTACTTCCTGGGAGAGGCTGAAACTTGTAATTAGGGTAGATGCTAAGTCTTGTTTTACTGAAGTGGGGCTTAGCACAAATGACTCCTATTGAGTCTGTTGCTTTTTCTTCTAAAACAATTTCCCCCTTTTGATCAGAATCTCAACTTAACTAGATGTGATCAACATTTAAGGTATTAGCACCAGTCTCGGCTGGTTTTCAATTTTTATTGATCCTTTGTGTGGTATTCACAGTTCATCATGTTTTTAATGCCTATGATATTTATAGGTCATGAGTTCATATTTCATAATTTTTAAGTACTTTTCTGATGTTCAAGTCTTAGGGAGATCATTTGTTTGGTGGTTAGTACCTGCAAACATACATTTAAAGGTTTTGAGAGAATAAAACACACCAGGGAGATTACTATAATTATTTATTATTATATCAGTTTTACTACTACTACTATTGGTATTACTATACCATGTGTTGTTACTACTACTATTACTAGGACTACTATCACCACCAGTATGGTTGTTATGCAATGTCTAGAGTGTGCTTCACAGCCATGTTCCCCAAGACCCACACCAATCAAAAGCAAATAAGTAAATTTAAGAAAGACCCTGGTGAGGGAGTCATTTTTTTTTTTAAGATTTTATTTATTTTTTTGGGATAAGGCATGAGTGGTGGAGGAAGGGTTGGGTAGAGACAGAGAGAGAGGGAGAAGCAGACTCCCCGCTGAGCAGGGAGCCTGATGCGGGGCTCGATTCGAGGACCCTGGGATCATGACCAGAGCTGAGGGCAGACGCTTAACCAAATGAACCACCCAGGTGCCCCAATTACCCACATTTTAAAAAAAATTTTATTACTGGGACAACTGGAATGGGCTTAGTCAGTTAGGTAACTAACTCTTGGTTTGGGTTCAGGTCATGATCTGAGGGCTGGCTAGTGCTTCGTGCTAGTGTGCTCGAGATTCTTTCTCCTTCCTCTCCCTCCTGTTTGCTGCTCTTCCTGCTCATGCTCATGTGCTCTCTTTCTCTCTCTCTAAAATAAACAAATATATAAGTAAATTAATAAGTAAATTAATGGGGCACCTGGGTGGCTCAGTTGGTTGGGCGACTGCCTTCGGCTCAGGTCATGATCCTGGAGTCCCGGGATCGAGTCCCACGTCGGGCTCCCTGCTCAGCGGGGAGTCTGCTTCTCCCTCTGACCCTCTCCCCTCTCGTGCTCTCTATCTCTCATTCTCTCTCTCTCAAATAAATAAATAAAATCTT